TCTCCCCTCGATTTTTCTGCCTTCGGTAATCAGATATCGAATAAGTCCAATTCTATTAATTCCCTTTTCTTCCACGCGTGGCGCGTGATCGCGCGATATCAGCGCAACGACACTAACTTCTTCCCGAAGGAGTCTGAAGTCCCAGGTGAGCAACGAAATATTTTTTTTTTTTTGTTGTAAAAACAATTTTGTTGTTTGCCTAAAAGAACGAAAACAAGGTGATTTTGATCCTTCGGGTTTTGATTTATCTTTTCTATGGATATATATATTTGTTGTTACGTTATATAAGAGTACCTGGTATTGAAATTGTAGTTAATGAAAAGGATGGTGGTATTATGTTGTTAATGGCTGTTAATGAGCACGAAAGCTTTCGCGTAGAGAATTCGTACGCTACTAATACAAAAATTGTATTGTTGCAATTTTTTTTTTTTTTTTTTTTTTTTTACGTTGCTCATCGTGATATACGAAATCACGAAATCAGCTCTGGAAGGTGTGTTTCATATCTTTCGGCTGAATGTGTCTGAGTAGAAAGAAACTTCTATATACGATTTTTCCGATTTTTCGGTTGTCCTTTTATTTTTACGGTAGACCGTTTCCACGCGCTGTTTCTCAGTCTCTGCACCAGTGTTCTCTTGGAGAGACGCGATCGCGGAAAGGTGGCATTTCACACTGCAGCTCAACAAACCACGAAATCTTTTTTCTCTCTTATCTATACATATATATACATATATATATATCATACATAATACCGTATAATAATATATATTAAACGTTTGTACAAATTTTAATTTTTTCCACTTTTTGATTTCGATCTGTGTTTTATTTCTTTTTTTTTTTTTTTTTTTTCCAAAGTAATCAAGTCATCAAAAAAAAAGAAAAAAAAAGTTTATATTTAAGCTGCAGCGTGAACATTCTGTCGCCTCAGGTTAGTTTGTCACAACTTTTATTTTGTTAACATTCCAGATCGAGTCGATTTACTTTTCGCCACGTATTTTTATATATCTTTTCTCTTGTACATATGTTTTTTTTTTTTTTTCGCATTTCACTCGTTGATAAGATAAATTATTAAAAGATTCTCGTTTTCGATATTATTCGGAAACGAAGAGGAAGATGCGAAGATTTCTACGGCGCGTTATATGCGCGTATATCATCACATCTAGCTTGCATATTTAAAACACTTTTTTTCCCATTGTTAACGATATAAAAGATATTTTAAAAATAGATCGCTCGTTATTTAAGGTGGAATCATTATATAAAATCTATTTATTTATTTTTTTTTTTTTTAAAAAGAATATCTTTTCCTCGAAATTTCAATATTATCGATAGATATATTTTATTAAACAAACATTCATATTTATTTATATAATTGTATTTCATTTAAAAAAAAAAAAAAAACATTCGAATAATTTTGCAAAAAAATAAAATAGATTATATTTTGCACGATAATAGTATATAGATATAATAGTGACAGATAATTATTTTGCATAAAGATTTTCGCAAATATTTGTTCGTAGTAAATTCATTCTAGTAGAATTTTTAAAATAATTCTTTTTATCGTTAATAATAGTAAAAATAATTTGCAAGCTATGTGACATACTTTATTCGATTAAAGTTTGTTTTTTGTAGCAAATTTGCAAATTATCGGAACGAAAATAATTTTTATTACAAGATATAAGAATAAAATTGAAAACGAAAAGGAAAACGAAAAAGTTTAGTTTGATATTCAATTTTATCATTAAGATATCTATTTCATTTATTAATTAAACGAGTTTTTCCTCTTATTCTTATTATTATCGATAAAAATGTTTCACGTTCTCTCTGTTAAATGCATCTCACTCGATACTATATATATTTTAAAAAGATTTTACGAAACAACAATGTTAATTTACAATTTTTCTACGTCCACGTTTCCTCGTCTAATATTTTATTTAAATAATTATTAATG